TGTCTGTCTGTCTGTCTGTCTGTCTGTTCCTTAATTGTATCTTTGAGTGAGAAGTCACTGATTTTTACTGGCAAAAAAGTAACCAACACTAATATATTCCTACCTTGTTCTGAATTTTCCCTCTTTCTCTCAATTTAGGGCAGTATCTTTCAAAGGAAGGTAAGTTCGTGTTTATTTTGTAAACAAGTTACGAATGCATCCACTTACATATTTTAATTCTGATCACTGATTTTTGCTTTGGGTGTCTGCAAAAGTCAGTAGCATTTGTAGCGCATGGTAGTTTTAAACTAATCATGATTCTAATTGATTGCAGATGAAAATTTAATCCAGTAAAATGTTTCATTTATCTTCCATTAGACCTGCAGGCTTAGGAATTACGGTGTCAATCAAATTCAGATCCTTCACCCCAGACCCCACTCTCCGGTTTCAGAAATTTCTGCGTCCGTCAGAGAAACTTCTTAGTATGACTATTGACAGACCAGGTAAGACTTAACAAAAGAAATCACTGTAATTATTATAACTATTACTATTATCGTTATTATCATTATCACCATTAGAGGTATCCTTATTATTAATATTATTCATACCATGATTGATGATCATTATCATCACCATTATAAATCAGAATTGTCAAAACTATTTTCAGTGAAAAGTTTGAATTTGAATGTCCTTCTGTTCAACACCATTCCATTCATTACTCTTTAAATATAATGATTTTTCTTCGCACATTACATTCTTTATTTATCTATTATTGGATTATTGCTTTAGACACTTATTGAGCACCCACAATTAATTGTTTTTCCTCTCTCAATTTGCAGACAAAGTGGAAGGACATACAGGTAATAAAATACCATAGTTCTTGTATGTCTCTTTTCTTTTAAGTGTAATCATTTAGATCTGGAAGCCATATATATAATCATAATGTTTCTGACAATCGAAAAGTGTGCTTTGGTTCCAGGTAAAATTTTTCTTCGCGCTAAACGCTATGTGATTCAAATATTTTTTTTTGTCTTTTGTCTTTTTTTTTCTTAGGCAAAGCAGGAGGCTATTGTTATGGCTCGTGTAATAACCATGGTAGGTGCACTGCCTCCCTCCATCCTAATAGTTATCAGCTTGGGCTCCCTGCACCTGCATATACTGTCTACTACCCCGGCGTGCAGAGGGTGACGGGTACCAGTGATCCATACCCTGCCAGCTGTCCAATGACATGCAGTCAGTATCCAACACTAGACTGCTATATGCAGTGCAACGACGAATGTTGCGACAGCAGGGAAGGCAAAAGAAATTGGAAGGCAAAAGCCATCGAAGATCTGATGAGGGAGCGATTTAAAACTCAGAATCAGTTTACTGATGATGAAAGAAATCAGACAAAGTTTGAATCTAATGATTCAGAGGACAAAGATGTAGATTTGCAGCCAAACAGTACTGAGTCACATGATAAAGTGAACGATTCAAAAAATATTATTGAAGATCTTAAGAAAAAGATAAAACGTCTCCAAAGGCGTTTGAAGAAAAAGCATCAACCGGAAAAAGTCGACTATTTCGACGACATTAATGATTCTCCGAAACCAGAAGTTGATCATGTTATCAATCCTCCCAACAAAACGGAGCAGTCGCGTGATGATGATGAGGAAAAGCAACTAGACGCAATTGCACATGATCTTACTGATGATGTCCATGACCCAAGAGATGTGCCTGAAGGCAACATGCACAATAAGCCCGAGCTAACCAAGACAAACATTACAAAAAAGGAAATCACACACAATCCAGAAGAGAGCTTTGGCCAAAAGGAAAAGTACACGAGCAGTCTACCGGATGACGATGACAATGAAGAGATCAGCCTTGACAATCAAAGAGTAAAGATTGGCTTTCAAGGGGACAGCATAAGCAATCAGAATGATAGCATTGAAAAAAAAGGAATCAGCACCGAAAATCATGACAGGAAAAGTACCTTTAGAACAATTGATAAAACATCAAATCTCAAATATCAAAACGATTACATGGTCAAAGAAAGACAAAATACCATGAAAACAGTCCAACACGCAAATATCTCAGTTAAAGAAGAACTTATCAATAAAGAGAAGACAGCGAAGCTACACGACCCCATTAACGTTTACGAACCTGGAAATACAATGACTGAGGAGAGCATCGATGAGGAAGGAGAAGGTGATAGTTCTGAAAGTGAACTACCGGGTGAACAAGGACTTTTTAGTTTACAAGATTCTGCTTTGGACCCAACTGAGGAAATATTGGATGAGGAAGGAATTGATGATGTTGGTAAATTTGGCAGAAAGAGAAACCTTATTCACAAGAAAAAGTCGAGCTACACTGGTAAATAAAACTCATCATCATCAAAAACAACAAAAGCAGCTTTGTTGGTACTTCATTCTTATTTTAAACATTTAACCCTACGGAAATCTCCTCAGCAATAACTAACAATCTTCTTATAGGACACATTTTGCACCTTTTTAAAGTGATTGAAAATACAACTAGAACCATGTTTACTCAGACATTTGAAAGGAACTCAAAGTTATTCTTTAATTCCAACCAGTGCGACAATACCGTAGAAGCGATTATTTAGTTTTCGGTAGCCTTGTTTAAAAGTTACATTTTACGCTTTAGCTCAACATATTATTATTGAATACATCGTACATCATTTCAGAAAATGATAAATTGCACAAAGATCGATCGCAAACATTTACAGAGCCAGTGAAGTGGAGCACCTTTTCCAAACACAACTTTCCGCAATGTTAGCCATTTTTAGTTTGAAAGAAAGTTGATTTTCAAAAGAGAATTGAGCTCAAAGAAAACGGCTCCGTTAATTGCATGGAGAGATTTAGAAGTCGACCAAGTAAACAATTAGCCATGTTACGTTTACCTCAGCTGTCACAGCTGTTTATAGCATTAAAATTTTGTTTTGTATCTGACTGCGTTGGAATGTGAATCTCATCCTAAGGGAATTGACATCTTCCAGACTGAAACCTAGGTTAGGGTTAGGCCTCTTACGTTTCTGAACTCTGTTGGGTCTTGTACTGTCATAAAACAGCATACCAAGTTAGCCGTTAGGCGTAAGAATTTACGAATTTTGATCATAGTTCGTAAAAAATGTTAACGGTAATGATTTTCACAAAACAATGGGAAGAAAGTAACCGTTAGTCGTAAAGTAGGCAAAATTTTAACCGTAAGTCGTACAAGCCATTACCCCACCGAGACCCTCATTTAATGGCATCTAATCGACAAATTTCACGGAAACTTACTTTCGCTGCAAGCATGACATCATGAGTCTCGTCAACGTCTTCATCTTTTCTTTACGTGGTCACGTGCCCAATGAGTAAATGTCGAGATTTCAAATCTCCTAAGTGGTTTCTCACCATAAGAGAAATCCGCACAATTACTTTTTTCCGATGAGCATCTTCTCCATGATTGAGTAAGTTTTCATGTTTATATAACGCCATAGATAAATCGATCTTGTCTTGATCACGACGTTTTGACTGCTATATTGCTAGTGTTCGTCAAGCGAACGTCGAAAGTTTACGTGTCGCTGTTTACATGGTTTGTTGTTATTGGCGCATTATGGCGCGCTTTCCGCTTTGTAACTGATCAGCTCAGTAGCACTATTTGATGGTAGGCATCCATGCTTTAAGAATTTCGATTCCGCTATCTCTATTGATGTTATTAGGATGAAGTCCTGTGTGGATAGCTTCTTTAACCCTTCGCGTGACCAGTGAGAGTTCGTGATCAAAAAACTTAACCTGAACCCAGACAGGAATTCGAACTTGTGCTGTTTCAATTTCGTGGTCTGAAACTTCTGAATTCTGACTACAAGCAAGCCGTATATCTCTTTCATGTTCTTTAGTTCTCTCTTTCATCGCTCCCCCTATTTCCCCGATGCATGTATACTTTACCATGTTCACAAAGGATCTTGAAAACAACATCGTCCCGTTTCACTAACTCTATCGCACTAAGTGCGATCTGCGTGTCGTGTCGGATTTAATTTAAGACAGTGCGTAAGGCTGTGGGGTCTTAATGGTATCTCAGCTTTGTTTATCTTAGGTAGGCCGTAGATCCTAGGTGGCTGTTTGTGCCTAGATCTGAATTTATTGTATTACGTTTTCGGCCAATGGCCACTTCGTTAACGTTCTAGGTTGAGCAACTTGTCAGTGAGTCATCGGCTCAGGCAGTTGGTTGAGTCTTTGTTGAGAATTTGGTATAGACCTATTTCGACCATTGTTTTCACTTTATCATGGTAGGCGTCAGTATCTAAACTAAGCTGGCACGACCTTTTCCACCTGGTAGGATCATGATAGAGTCATCTTGTTTATGGTCTTTTTGCATTTCAGCATTTCATTGGTAATGTTACAGAACAC